AGAGTGTATTTTATTTATTACTGTGGTATAAGATAGCATTTGATATTATAGCAATGGACTCTGAAATCAGCACAGGGTGCCAAGACAACTTGGGACAGCATAAGGAAAGACAGAATAAGTTCATCTAATGACTTCTCATTACCTTAATGCAGATCCAGTACTACCTGAAGAAGCTCAACTTTATTATGCTGAGCAGCAAAAAACAGTGACTATGACCTGTGACTTTGGTATTCAGTATGCAAGTGAAAGGAAGTACCTGTGCAAGATGACAAAGACCAACTGTTACAATGTGATTGATACATACGGAAATGTTGAACCATCCTACTTAGGAAGAGTTCTGTTGACCAATCTTGATACTCCTGGATCTTTCAGTGTCATTATGAGCCAGTTAAAGAAGGAAGATGCAGGTTTATATCTTTGTGGAGCTGGGAATTATGGAACAGATGGAGAATCCAAGGAACTGGATCTACACGTCTATGAAGGTAGGTGAAAGAGCTCTTGGGATTCCAAAACTGTCTCTACAAGTACATATCTAACTGAGAATACAGTTTTAAGAATATTTTTATAATTTTATGCACTATATTTCTATCTGTAGATAGATTGGCACCTAAACAACAGACAGTGCTAAAGGGAGTCCAGGGTGGTTCTGTGACTGTTGAATGTCATTATGATCCAAAAGAGAATGATACATTGAAATACTGGTGCAAGTGGAGACAACATGGCTGCACTGAAATAATAAACAGCAATGGATACGTGCTGGATTCCTATGAGGGAAGAGTTGTGATGCATGATGATTCAGAAAATGGCACATTCACTATCATTCTGAACCAACTACAGAAGAATGACATAGGCTATTACTGGTGTATGACGGATGGAAAAGAGGAAAGGAAGTCCTCAGCGGAGGTCACGATTGTAGAAGGTACTGCCTGGTATGACATGTCTGTATCTTAGGAGTGTCCTTTGTCTAGTTGATGAGTCCTGCAAAAAAGAACCTAAGCCGGCTCAACCATTGCCTTGGGTTTAAATATGATATATTTACAGAGGAATGCTGTTCCACATGATTAATATTTAGAGTATTAGGCCACCGGCTTGTCATGTGACTCAGGGAAGCTAATTAAAAAAAACAGCAAATTAAAACTTATTGCACAAAGACAATTCACACATTCAGACAATTAAAATGGGCTTACATTAGCCTAGGGGAAGATTCATGTCTTTAAGGCCCTTTGAAAGGCAGACAGGGTTGGGGCCATCTGAATCTTTGGGGAGTGCTGTTCCAAATCCAGGTGGAAAACCAGGCTAGACATATGGCATGTTGTATTTATTACACATTTTATTGCAAATATATGGGAATGGTAAGCAGGATGATGAATGAGAAGGGAAAATAACTCTTGCCCACCTTGCTGCTATCCAAACAAGAACTTCTACTAGTTGCTTTTTGCTTTCAAGCAAAGGGAGCTTTTCTCAAACAGCAGCATAGGGTTTGGAATGGAAATTTCTACTCAAAGTATAGGAAAATGTCACTCCCCACTGTTCATGATCTTTATTCATTTCAAACTCAGCATTCCAGGGCTTTTATAATAAATTAAAAAGGCATATTAAAATACATATAATGTTTATATCTAGCTTTACCAGTACCTTTAAATTCCCATTTGTTTTGGTAGGAGAGCTAGATAGAAACACAAACTTAATTTTGCTGTTTCTGGGACTGAAAGATAGCAGTCCCTATATCAACATCACCATAAATCGACCTGGTACCTTTCAGGTGGATTGGGAGTACAATCCCAGAATTCCCAGACTATAAGGACTTTTGGAATTATAGATGTCTGTAAATATATCTCTAAGGTACTAGTTTGGGGAAAGGTGGACGAGGCCTTACCCAGTGGGCTTCAGTGTCAGCCCAATAATTTCTAGCTGTAACTTTCCACATGTCTTCATCAGGGTGCATCCATGACCTAAACCTTTTGCTGATTCGACTCAAGGAAACAATGAAATCTGTTCCTTATGTTGTACTTTATCATTAGTTATCTTCCATTTCCGGTTTTATTACAAATTATTTATCTTACTAAAGACATTGCAATTAATCTGGATAGAATTCTTTTCTGTTTTCTTCTGAATATAATCTATTGCTCCTTTGTAAACAAAAAACAAAACCCTGTAACCCCATTTACCCTGATACTGTTCTAATATCTTCTGTTTTATGAACAACCTAAGCTAGTAAGAAGTTTACATTTCCAAGGCCCAGATCTCCTACAGTTCTCATTACTGTGGCCATCTATGTCCTTACATTTCCCCCTTACTCTGATTTTCTGTGGAAATAATATTATGTTCTTAAAATAGGGGCAGCCAACCAATCTGAATGGAGTTCTGAAGTTTCTCACTGATGAGGATGGAAAAAACCATCATCCTTTTTGTGCCCATCAAATACCCCCTTTGGATGGATAGAGTAAAAAAATGTGGACCTTTTTGCAGGTTTAATGGTTTGAGGGGTTTAAAGGAGCAAAATGGGTATCTTAAGTCTTGCAGTTGTTTAAAGCACCAGTTTCTCCCTTAAAGATCTTGGAACTCTCTCCTCATATGGATCATATACTTTGCCAATACTGCCCTTGACCTGCAATGCAAAGGCTGAGGCAGCCATGAGTCAGTGGCTCTAGGCAGTGATCCCTGCTCTATGACTATGTGCATAGGACCAAAGACTTCCTAGCAAGTGAGGCAGGTTGGCTTTGGATGATACATTTTAGAAGCCAAGAAATCAAGTGTCAGAATGATATACCTTTTTAACTGGTTGGATCCAGGCCCACAATCAAATATCTAGTTTGCAATTGATACAGTTTTCTCCTATACAGTCAGGTTGGTTTTTATCTCACATTTGCTTATCTGCTAACTAATTAATTGATTTGTTCACTCCCTGCCTTTCCTCCAGGAACATAATATTCCCCATCAGTTTTATTCTTATTATATCCTGTATAGTAGTTTAAATTGGGAGACAATGACTGCCCAAGAGCTTCATGGCCTTATGGCTAACTGGAGATTTAAACCAAGTTTTCACAATGCTTTAACCACTATATCACAAACAATGTGAGACTTAAACAGGTACAGGTAGTCCTCAGTTTAAAAATAAGTTCCATTCCCAAGGTCTGTCCTTAAGTCAAATTTGTACATAAGCCGGAACAGTATTGTTATATAATACTGTATAAATAACATTGTGTATTGAACTTGAACCATTGTGTAATGAACTCAAACCATTGTGTATTTAACTCAAATTTTGCTAAAATAGGCTCTATTTTTAATTATGGGTTGTCTGTAACCCAAGTGTTCTTAACCCGGGAACTATGTAGTTGTCTACGTTCATAGCTAACGTATTTATATGAGAGATTTACGGGAACTATCTCTACTAAAATAGTTAATTGCCTAATTCAAGTGTGACAGTTATCCATTTGATTTTGTGCCAAGGAAAGGCAGGCTAGATTTCTCCTTGCGTTATGTCTGGGGTAGGGGCAGTGAAGAAGGAAGATGTATTGTGTGACCCAAGTAGTCAATCACTTTAGTGATGCTAAAAATTAAGCACTCTGTTTTCAAGTATGTGGGGGTTTTTTATTATCCATTTTTTTCTTTTTCCTGACCCAGGGAAACCTGCATTACAAGCCGAAAAAGAAATCCAGGCTGTTGCTGGCTCCCCACTAACTATATCATGCTCTTATCCATGCAAATATTTTACATATGAGAAATATTGGTGCAAGTGGAAGAACACTGGATGTAAACCTCTCATCTCATCTGAACAAAACCAGAGTGGCTTGGTAGTTAACTGTGATAAAGATAGTAGAATTTTGTCTTTGACGTTTGACCAGGTGGCACCCACAGACCAAGGCTGGTATTGGTGTGGTGTCAGACAAGGGCAGCAATATGGAGAAACAGTTGCAGTACATCTGCAAGTAGAAGGAGGTGAGTTTTAATCAGTAGGGCAAGTACATTGTATTATACTTATTCCAATTTCCAGTTATACATAAAATAGTCATCTCCAAGTCAAAGTGTTGGAAGTCATTTTCTTGGCAACCAGCACAGAAGTGTTCCTTCTTTCAGGTTGTTTTTCTCAACTTCCCAATCTAACCCATAGCCCTGCTATTTCCTGGTGGTCTTCCATCTAAGTATTAACCAAGGCCAAGTCTGCTTAATTTTTTTAAGATTGGCCAAAGTTGGCTGGTGCTGCCACCTAGCAAGGTAGGTTTAAATAGATTAACTGCTAAACCTTAGCCATCTAACGATGCTACAGTTCCTGATGATTCCCCAGGCAATTATCAAATTAGGTAAAGTTTTACAGAAATGCTTAGTGCAGCTTATGGCTAGGATTAGTCTCTGATCTTGATTTTCTGTGTGGAGATAAGAAAAATACTGGATGTTTCAAGTGTGGTTATGTTTTTGCATCAAAAATTCCTTGTTTGTCTTTTACTAAAATATAGGGAGCTATTATACCAAATGATTTATCAAGAGCCAGATGTGTTAGCCTGTCTCAACAAAAACCATTAGATCAGGTGAGGTGGGCTCCTCAGCTGGTGGAACAAGAACTGTTGGATCTAGTCCATGCCTATAAGCCTCTTACCTCTGCCTGCACTGTTATTAGCAATGAATTTCCCAATCAGCTGCCCAGAATGGTCACACTGAGGGCTTGTCTGAAGAAGGCATCCAAACAGGATGAAGACATAATGAATTGAGAGAGCTACCTTTTCATGAGTTGCCCAAAAAAGGGCCCAGAGAGAGGTCCCAAGGCTCAGTGTCTTCCAGGGAGAAGCCTCAGAAAACTTTCCTCAGAATGAGGCATTGGGCTGGATAGAAGTGACATCAGGAAACAGGCAGGGGAGTGATACACCACTGCAAAAAGTCTTATAGTACATTAAATATTAACACATCATTTAAGATTTCCCAGTTTGCAGTCCGTTCAGATGCATATAATGAAGTGACCTTTTACCCATGAAAATGTATACCATGTATTCCTTTTAGTCTTTTAGCAGACACAGTAATTTATTACTATTTTAGTCATATGAATTCCAACTAACTTCTAACATATATTCTTACAAAAGCTTTGGATTCTTGGATCTTTACTACAAATTACTTTCTATATTGCAGGACAAGACAATTTTCCTTATGGTGGCCTTTAGTAAAATAAGAAGGAAGCATTAGTTTTTGCAAGAAGTATGCCCAAGGGAAAAAAATGCAAATAGTAAATTATGATTAAAAAACAGAATAGTATCTTTCATCACTCATCAAATTTGTATACTTGGCTATGGTATAATTATTTTCATTCATTAGCTGAATTATGTAGAGGAATATAATCTAAGTGTGATCTCATCTAAGGTGCTGATTGTTTTCTTTGCCTTTTATGTTCTCATTTGCTTCTGGGTTACCACCTCCCCAAATACTCCTGAACAGTACCTCAAAACGGTAACGACTTTTCCATATTCAATGAAGACCATGATATTGCCATTCCTGGAATAAATCCTAATAGGAATTCTCCTTTAAGCAAAGTCAATCAGGCAGCTGAAGGTGAAAGTTCAACAGGCAGGTGAGCAACTTTTAAAATAGTTAATGGTGATTTATGAATGCATATATATAGAAAAGCAAAAGTATTTAGGGGGAGGAGCATCACCATATAATTATTGGGCTAAATAATATTAATCAACAGAGAAATTTATTTGCAATTCCAGAGAGCCAAAGAGGATGTAAAGAGTGGCAGGTTTGTGTGTTTAAGTACTGGGCTACTTCAACTGCACAGAAAGAAACATGGTTCAGGAATTAATCCCATTTCTAAAAGAGAAATATAAGAGGTTTCAGGCAATCTCAGTCTCAGCCAGATACTTAACAACAGTCCAAGTTTGAAGCATGCTGATGAAGCACTACTTAGCCCAACTGGACATTTTCCAGATACTGTATGTGGACTTCTACAACCAGAATTCCCCAGTTTACTTGGCTACTACTGAGAATAATGATAAAAAATTATCATAGCCTTCCTCAGGTCCATCTCGTATGTTCTTTCATTCTGTACATCAGTGTGGCCCAGAAGCTTTTTTTGTGCAAAGACAGAAAGCTGCAATCAGTCAAAAATGACAAGCAACTGTTTCTGATCTCTTCCTTATAGCCAAGGAGGAAGAATTAAAATAAGACGGGCTTGGTATAATGAAGTTCATTCTTGTAGCATTAAGTTCTGGAACTACTTCACTGTCTTTCTGAAGAATATTATTAAGGCTATACTAATAGTGCATATTGACTATGCCGATTCTGCTTCTTTTCCAGCCATGCTGAAAATAAAAATTCTGTTGTTCTTCTTGCCACTTTGATCCCCCTTGGAATTGTATTTCTGCTTCTCATCACAGTCTTTACTATAAAGAAGTTCAGATTATTTAAGAATTCTGGTGAGTCGATACTGAATGTAACCTCCTTGGAAACCATTTTAATTTTTTTATATACTGATTGCTTTAGCATATTTTTGAGCATCTAATAGTACAAATAATGATTTTTTCGCATAGAAATAAAATTACAAGATAAAAATTAGGAACTTTAGGGTCTGGATTATATATATATATACCATGGACTGAACTATTTAAAAAAATTATCTCATTCCAGAAATTATGAGTGGGGCAGGAAGGGAGAGCAGAAAGAATGAAATATCTGTTTTGCAGAAACATTTACAATTTTAGGTATGACTAGGTGAAAATCAGCTAAAAAACTATTTCAATGTAGATAGGTTTAAAACTTCTCAACTCAGCAGTGATAATAGTGGGGAAAATCTGTGGCAAAACAACTGCTCTCATCTAAAGCACTGCCTGGTTGTTGTGTCAAGGGAAATGAGGTGGTTCTTCTACTTGTTCTATTCCATCTCTCTCCCTCCTAATAAACACAGTGGGAATGAATTACAGTTACCTGTTCAAGGTTGTTACAGTTTACAGATCTCTTTAGTGCCATATTAGGGGAATGAAAGGTTAAACTTTAGATTTAAGACCTTTTCCAACACACCTCTGGATTAGGCCCCTACAATTAATGGCACAATACAAATACTGTATTGGGAATTTTTCTGTCCCAAGATGGATCTGAGGTGGCTTCTTCAAATAATACTTCTGTTGTATACAATAAGTCTTCAGCAATAAGTCCACCATCTATATCAGCCTTTTCCATCCTAGAATTACTACAGTATGTATATAGAATCTAAGGTGCAAAGAATGATAGTGAATGAAATGTTCTTTCTCTTTTTATAGATCTTGTATCAGTTGGAAGCTACAGGACAAATATCAGCATGACAGATTTTGAGAATGCGAGACAGTATGGGGCAAAGGACAATGCATGCCTGGAAGAAATTCATGAGACCCAAATAGGGAAGAAGGATGGTAATATCATTTTAAAATGTATTCTAATTATGGCTTGATGCTTATCAGCCAAATATAGCTGTCACTTGTTCAGTAATGAAATTACATTATTTTGCCATTTATAGAATTGATCGATACATGAAGCTCTCTTTTTTTCACATCCAATCCCATAATATCTTGTATTCTTTTCAGAGTATGCAAGTAAACCTGGCAGTCCTAAGGAGGCTGGTAAATTAAAGAAACCAAAGAGGGTAAGGGCAAACTAGATTATTTTGACAGGACTATAATGGTTTAATAACCTCCATTATATTATAATAATAATAATAATAATAATAATAA